ACCACATTATTGATATTTATAAAACATGCTACCCAGCTCCGTTTAACACTTTTCCTGTTAAGCCAGTGTGAACAGAAAATTAAAAGCACGTTTGCACGTTTCCCGTGACTTAAACTTTAAACCTTGCAGACGCAACATCAAAACTGAATGTTGACCGTTTCTGGATGTTTCAGAAATCTGACCACCGAGAGCCAGTTTGACAAATCCCTCCCAAGATACTAATAGTAATAATAGTAGTTTCTGTCTCGCATCATTCGGTCAGCATCAACAGGGTGAACTACATCAAAGACGACAATATCCTTGGAAGAGGCCCTGAAACTGAGATCAGTTTCGTTCAAATCCTCAGAACTGTGAAATTCAGAACAGCAACTTTAGTCATCGGCTTTAAACCAATGTGGCAATTTACAAATTACTTTACAGTTGGAAAAGCTTCCCTGCTAGGCATACGAGCCTACACTGTCAGGATACATGATAGTGTTAAAGAGTCACATTTGATCTGTGATGACTACCTTGCACTGGTTTTGTTTAAAGACGGGTTTGCATACTTTCATCGCCTGCTGTTAGTTACAGGGAGCTGATGGATCGTCTGTCATCTCACTGCATCCTCCTCATCTCTTCCTGTGTTCTTTGTGGTTAGATTTGCAGTGGCAAGTTAAGTCTTAACATATTCTGACTCTGTATGCTTCACCAGCCCTGAATGCATTCTTCACTGACATCAGACATGCATGTGTTCATCCAAAAATAAAATCAAATAACAGGCTTAAAATGACACGGCGAAGCTATTTTGTTCTACCTACAAATGTTTTCTTAAACAACCAGGTGCAAATATTGTGTGGTTTATTTAAACAAATCAAACCTCCTTAAATCCCAGAGCGCAACTCCCAACCACAGCCACAGCACAAAAGAACAACAGCAGTGAGTTGTGATTATTAGGACCACGTTATCAGCTGTCACTGCGTGACATGAATGCACACTGTGAAATTGCCCGTCTAGACTTGACGTCATATCACTATCCCCACACACACACACTCACACCAGAGGTGCCCTTCCCACCTAATCCTTATACCTGACACCAGCCGAGAAACAAATGCTGGTGGGACAAAAGATCAGCAGATTCAAATTCTCAGTGTGAAGCTAATGAAACAATCACATTAAACTTTCATGAAATAAACACAATGAAAGATGCATGGCAGCTGTACATTGCTTAAAAATGAGAAAGCTGAGTTTTTTCTTTCATTTTAATCAACATTTTTGAAAATTCCAAATATCTTCTATGAATACAAATGTTCATAGAATGCATACAGCGTTAAAATACATAAGCACACAACCTCACACTGAAAAAAAATAAAGTCCTCCACCTTTCAATTATGTACATTTATTTAGCCTGGGTATTTTAAAATCACCAGAACTGCAATTATAATCTGTGTAAAATAAAAAAGTAACCAAATAATTATTGCTTATTAATTTACTTTGTCAGGCCAGAATCTATGAACCTCTCATTTGCAATGCATTACTTTCTTCTTCTATGAAGTTGTCTTAGCCACTCTTCATAGGATTTGGCACACTATTCAACACTGTTGAGTTTACAGTGTAAAGTTAAGAAATGGTGACAAGAAGACAGTTATTCATCATATTTGTCTCCAGTTAGAGTAGTTTATAAGGACTATGTCTGCTCGGCTCAAAGAATTGTGACATCCATGGCTGCCATTCCTTTTGAACCTGTTCGGTTCAGGACGGTCAACCCTCCTGAAATGTTAATACTTTCTTGCCTCCCTAGCTGCTCTTCTTCTGACATATATATTTACATATATTTGACCCACAAACTCTTAATTACAAGGAAAGTATATTGTCTGCAGATTGATTTCTCAAAATATTGTCTGATTCTTATGACAAATATATTTTAAATCCAGCTTAATTGAAGAATAAAGAATGTTATGCTATTATTTTGAAGTTGTGTAACATATTCACATTGTGAAATTTTTACGGTGTAATAAATTCATTTTGATTTAGTAAGTAATTTATGTACGTTTCTTATTGTTGGATCGTCCCCAATGGGTGTAAATGGATAACTATATTAGAGCAAAATATACACTTCTGTTATGATGCTTCCAATATGTTCTCACTTTAAAACATGCATGCTGGAACACAATGTCTGGGTTTCCACATACATGTAACAAATGGTTCTATGCAGAGCTAAACTCAGAGTATTTTAATAGTCTTTCAAAAATCATATTAGATTAGATTTGTCATCATAGAAGCTATGAAGAATCTAAAAACTCCAAGACAAATCAAAACAGATGTAGAGCCCGGTTAGAGTCTTTATGTCACAGATCTGGAGTTGCAGTCCCAGCCATTAATTTGTAGCATTAGAAGAAAGGGCCAGAGAGAAAAGCAGAAGATCTGTTGCAAAGAAGACAATATTGGAAATAAAAAAAATCTGAAAACCAACTGCTTTGAAGGGTTTTTTTTTTATATCAAAGATTAATATTTACGTTTGTACTTTGTATGCTGTATATTGTAGGTTTTGAAATGGATTTAGGAAAAACATTTTTAGCAAATTGCAAGTTCAATCGAAGTCATGCATTTGGATTGTGTCTACCATTTCATGGGTGTGACAAAGGTAAAAAATAGCACTCTGCTTTTAAAACTCTTCCTTTCCGTACCTCAGAAACCATTATTTCTCAAAGTGGGTCAGAAAAAAAAACACATTGAGGAATACTTTAGTATGAACTTCTTGTTCCTATACTCACTGAAATGCAAAACAGCAGAAAATATTTACCTGCCAGCTCGCTTGCTTTACAAGATTATTGTAGTACACAGAGTTGAGCATAAAAATGTACAAAAGCATGTCAGTTTAATCAGAAAACAGCCTGAGGAGCTCATTGTGAAAACTTTTTGAACATTATGCAACAGTGCCAACACTCTCCACTTCACATTTACGTCACGTACAAACGGAAAAAGAAGTGTGTGCAAAAGATGTCAACATTTATCTTCACACTGAAACTAAACCCAGCATTCAGCTCCAAACAAACAGTAGCCGTTTAAGCTGTCATACTCATGTGCATCATGTGCTTGTTTCTACTCTCTCCAATGCACCACAGCAACATAAATACCTGAAATTTTTGTCCCCTGCGTTATTAACATGAGGAGGAGCAGAACCGTGGATATTCAACAGGGGGCTGGCAAACAGAAAAAGAGAACCGATTTCATCTTTCGTTGCTGCGGTGGCAGCCCATACCATCATCTCTAAATCAAAACTGTCATCCGTGGAATGAGTGCTTTGCCAACCACAGTAATGTTACCACCACCAGACTAGGCTCAACCCAGTCCAGTGAAACTCCTTTTGAAAACCGCCTAATGTGCTCTGTCCAAATTTGGTAGCATCCTTGTTGGTGGTCCCTGCAGTGTCTCTTTGTGTATATGCGAGTCTGAGTTTCACCCTTTCTATTCAGGAGGCTAGTTCAAGTTGAGTCTTATATAAATATTCACTGCACCTGTTATACAGTGAAAACTACACTGTTTTTTAAAACTCTGAACCAAACTAACTAACCTAATTTATCTTCCAGCTGTGGTGCTTTTCGGAGAGACCAAACTCTCTTCAGGCTTCCTTGAAAAACTGCATTTGTTTTGGTCGTGTATTTGAACCTGCATCTCCGCTTGCTAAACAGTTTCTGTGAAAGCTGTACATTTCCAGGAATAACAGCGTGCAGATTGTACAACCACTTCAGAAAACCCTAACAAGGTGGGATGCATGTGCACACGAGCCTGTTCAGAATGTGGGTCTTCAATTTCTACAAAAACTACAAACAAGCTTGCATGTGCATTTGTGATCACAGGGGCCATTATTTTTTGTTTTTATTTTTTCAGAAAAAGAAAATCTGAATTATGACATTTTCATGCAATTTTTTTTTGTTTGGCATTATGTTTCCTTGAAAACATCTCACTACTAGTTTCCTTCCATCCAACGATGCTTAGGCAGTTGAATTTTTCTATTGGTTGGAGCATTATAGCTTGGTACAACTTCATCACAGAAGTTTGACTATAAAAGCACAGCCTCCCGCTGAGATGGAAAAGCAAGAGCTGCCTCGGTGACTGGCAAGCATTGATCGATAGATTTCCTTAAGAGTTAAAAATGTGCTATTTATTTGCAATGTGAACACTGAGTGAAATGGGTTTCCTCTGCTCTGATTATTGGTGAAAAATGGTGTTCAACGGATAACTGTGCCAGATTGACTGCAGTCCTGACAAAGCAAAAGAGGCTGTCGCCTGATCAGAGCCTAAATAAGCATTATGAGATCTTCAAATGCTTGCGTCCTCCTGAGCAAATTTTCTTGTTTTATCAAAAGTTTTTGCCAATGGATTTGATTGATTCTGAAAGGCTGGCTTAATCTTTAGCATTGCAAGCCTTCCCAAAAGCTTTGATTAGTCAGTCAAAGCGATGGTTGTGTTTAAACCGACTGATGAAATTTGATGCGTAAAGTGTTGTGTTGTTTTTCTCCTCATTTGTCTAGCAAATGCAGAAATTTCTTCCCACATTTGATACAAAAAGCCAGCATATTGTCTTCCTCCTAAACCTTAGAGACGTTTCTGTTTACTGGAAAGCTTGACTGCATTTGCATGGTGCTGGGAGTTCCCAGTTTGGGAGTCATTCTGACCTTTTACGTTTCTATTTATGTTGTTTGTGTGTAACACCACGGGGTACTTATTATATTAAGTTTTTAAAAAATTCTGATCAAGTTGTTTTCTGACTTGAGGGAATTTTGAAATGATTTATTTCCAGTCAGAAATGTTTTTCTGCAATTATATTGACACTCCTTTCATACAGGAGTGGGAGCCCTTGATTAAGAAAATACAAAATCATCCACATCAGCGAACATGTCATCACTGCAATTTGTTATGATATTGGACAGGTAAGAATGATGTCATAATTTCTTGATATCGGGCCAATAATTATCGTACATCCTTACTTTAAAGGCACTTAAGGAGAATGTGTTCCTTACCTCCAAGTTCTTTTACATTTAAGATGGCATTTGGAAATGGCACTGCCTTAATGCTGAAACCTGTAAATAGAAAACACATAAGCAGAAAAGGTCATTTAAGATTTTCTATCAAAGAATTTTGCTACATTATGTACAAATAAATAGTACCAATAATAGAAACTCACTCTATAATCAGATTGGCTGAGAAGGCTGAGTGTAGATTTTCCTAATTCAAAATGGTTTTCTCACAGACAAAAAAAACCCAACAAAAAAACATATCTGAGTCATAAACAGGAACCCCATTTTTGGTGGACCAGAGAGCAAAAAGAGATGAAAAGCTAAGCAGAAAAGCATTATGTTGGGTTTATTGGCAAACAGAGTTAATATCTAAAGCATTTCTCTGAGTTATGTGGTCCTTCTTTGTGGGTGTGAATGGGAAACAGAAGAGCCCAGCGAAGAAACTTAGACAAGAACTAGATTTAACTTGACTCTTTTCAAAACAACTCGAACACATGGAGGGAGAGATCCGGGAAATTGAAGACTATGATTTTCAACAAAGCTAAATTTATTGCCAAGTTTCATTTCAGAGCAAATTACAACAGAGAGAAATATTTGAGTGAAAAGTGAGCAAAGCCACAGGAGATTTCCATCTTCATGTTTCTGCTTTTGTAAACGTTGGCAGATGCAGGAGGCAATGACAGCTAACTCTTCTTTGAGAAACGTTCACTGAAATGCCTCTTCGCTAAGGTAGATAATTATCATACTTGATCTGGTGGGGGGTACCAAGCAGGAGGCACAGACAAAGGTTCAAACCCCCAGAAAAGCAGAGACTTATGGTTATAAGCTGCACATTTGGGAGCTGCTTTATGTTGAACTTCAACGGGACAGACAAAGTTTAAGATGGGACTTCTGCAACAGCTCAACGTGGCTGCTGTCAAAGATACAGGGAGGTGGGAGGGAACGTCGTTGTTAAGGGACTGCAATGCATATAAGGAAAGCGACGTTCACTACGAGGAAAATTATGTGCACTAAGACTCCTGTTCTCCTAGATGCACAAACAACACCATCCTCCAAGGTTACTGGAGGAAAGAAACAAAGCTTGGGCTGGTGACATCCTGGCATACACTCCTGGAACAAACACTGGGAACGTTCTTTCCCTTGGTGGAAAGCTCCCTCATCTGTTTAAAGGAAAATACATTTCCTACAAGCATCTCCCCACCCAAACATTACAATCTTTATATTCCATCAGTCCACAGCGATGTGCGATTAGCACATACCTGTTGTAGGAACGATGTTGTCAGTGCTCTCACTGCAGAGCCGCGAGAGCAGGCTGGTCTTTCCAGCTCCTGTCAGGCCGATGCACACCACGTCATATTCTGGTCTCGGTGGTGGGGGTCCTTTACAGCACAGTGCTCGGAAACACTGAAATAAAGTACAGAAATCAAAGAATGTGAAACAGGCAGTACAAGCTGAGGGGATAGGGACATGTTGGTCTTTTTGAGAGGAATAAATATCGTCAGTCTCGCCTGTTAACCATTTCGTACTTTTTGGTATTGGGTGATTTGTGTGATGCTTTTCTGGGTACCAAAAAAACTGCTATTAAGTCGTAGCTCCCTTTTGGGAGGTTTCATAATCTACCAGTAGTACCAATTCTGACATCAGTTAATTGTAAGTTATTAAAGAATTAATTATGATGAAGAACTAATAAACATCAATGACTGGAAAGATGAGTAGCACTGATTTTTGCTTAATCAAAAAATTCTTCAAAGAGAAATGAAAGGAAGGATATTTGAAGAACTTCCAGTACAATGAGGAGCAGCTGAGAGTGAATCAGGAACAGGTCCTAGTATGTTTGTTTCTCTGGTTGCTAACTGTTGTATCTCAGGTCCCTTTCACTTCAACGTCTTTTTCAGATCCCTCCCCTCAACAAAGCCAAGACTGACACATAACTCCGGCCCCTTAATTTAACCTTAGTCAAAAACTAGATTTATAAGTTGTCATATCTTAGATCATTTTAGAATATGAGTTATAATGCAGAAGAAGTTGGGAAGGTTTTTAGATGTCCATATAGCAACTGCACAAATAAAAACAGTTTCAAAGTGCACTTCAGAGTGCTGTTGGGTCCAATGCTGGTGTTGAGAGAATGATGGCTTAGCTAACCCTAGAAATGTTCTTCAGGTGATAGGACAACTTTGCAATTGTCTTTAAGCATCTCTGATGATTCATGTCTGACTTCATCATTGCATTTTGGCCCTGATCAGTACCTTCTAGTTCTGATGCTGTTCACTGATTCTTGATCCTCTTAGATCCAAAGATAATAACTTAAAAGTTATGGCACATCCATGGATTTATTTGTTCTTAGCATCTGTCAAGTGCTTGGATTGACTTAGAGTCACCTGGTGATATCTGAACACATTACTAGTATTATAAAAAAAAATAATTTGTAATTAAGGTAGTTATATTATTTGAAGCTTAGTTTTGGTAGGTATTTCTTACATAAATGACCACATACAGCTTAAGCAAATACACATTTTCAGAAGTACCACCCTAACAGATTTTAAAAATTGTGGAGCTCTCAGACTTGAACTTTTTCTGTTTTTTGTGTTACCTCCACAAATTTTATCAAAAGTTGCAATTTCTATTTAGTTTCTTGTTGAGAATTTCAGAAGCACAGTACTACAACCTCCTTCAGTGAACACACTGCTACACAAAACATTGCTACAATCATGTATTGCTAATAAGAGTTAGAGGACAAATGTCCCAGAAGGATTTGGAGAAACTCATCCATATGTTTATTCACAAGTTTTCCACAAAAATGAAGAAAGCCATAGCTGATCCACAATTTCACTAAAACTAGGAAAATATAGCAATTATAAAGTCCTTCTCTGAACCCATGGTAGCTCAGAGAATAGTCTTGGGAGAAAATATTTTTATTATTTCATAAATCACCAAATGGATTAGCACCAAAATACATTGCAGAGCTGTTGTCATTACATCAACCTTGAAGACCACTTGAGTGTTTTGGTTCAAGTCTACTCTACCTCCCCAGAGTCAGAACCAAAGATGGAAAAGCAGAGTTAAGTTTTTATGCTCCTCAAATGTGGATCAAAACTTCCAGAAAGCTGAAAAACAGCCGAAACACTGTTCATTTAAATAAAATCTTAATGCTCACTAATCAGTATCTTATAAAGCAAGATGCTGTTCTTATGGTGTAAAGCACTTTGAACTACCTTGTTGCTGAAATGTGTTATAAACTTGACAATTTTGTCAAGAGCAGTTAAATTAAATGTTCGCATGATACCAAAAAGTCATAATGAAAGACATTTACTTAATTTGTATAGGTTATTATAACCTGGTGACATATACTCAATAACAAACCAACCATTAGGAAAGATGCAGCTAAGTGGTGACCCAACCTGTTTTCGCCTGCATGTTGCACCCTGTCTGACTCGGCCATTACGGTCACTGAGGGCAGACCCTGTCACTCCATGAATCACGGCCTGGGACAGAGTCCCCTGCTGTGAGACATTAGGGAGCAAACGCAGTGAGAACCGTGAATGAGATCCTTAAACTTGTGTGTGAAGAGATCAGTATCCAAAACTAAAGAGAGATCTCTTTTATTAGCAAGACAGGAACCGGTCTGGACGAGGCAGAGCAGACACACACATGCACGCGTGCACATACACACAGCACCCCATCCATCTTGTATATCACATTTCAGGTGGAACATCAACACGGGTTTTTTACTGCTCATGTCAGCAGATGACCCTGTTCTACCAAAGACTGTAACAAGAAGAAAAACCCATAAGGGCACATGAACTTCTGTGCACGTAAAAGTTGATGTGGTGGTACTTGTGTAGTAGTATTAAGGATAATTTTGCCATAAATTTGCTAACATCTGTCCGTCCATCTCCAGGGCCACACAGAGGCTCTTGTCTATGACCAGTAGTGACTATAAATTAGGCAAATATTGAAAAAAAGAACTTAGCTTGCACATCTTTACTTTGTTTGATCAGTATATTTTGGAAAATGCACAATCTCGATTGCAGAAGACGGCAACAGATCAACAGCAACCGTGTTCCAATCCTCGGTTCTCCATCATACCCCCCAAAATATCAGCACCCACCAGGGTCAGTTTTCAGGGCTGCTATTTGATGGGGATATGGGGAATCTGCTTCAGCAGAACCAGACGTCGGCGGAGGAACCCGACCCCCCGACTCCTCCGTGAACCCACGCGTCTGCTTAAACAGGAAACATTCTCCTGTTCCAGAAAACGGGTAAGATCAGAAACACACGCATGTCAGATGGAAGAGCACATGTACAAACTTGGTTAAATTAGCTCCTTCTACCCTGTTCGTTGCTCACCTCTTAGTGTCACCCCCTTTCTTTGCAGCTACATGTTACCGGCTTCTGTGGAAGATTAAATCAACTTCTCTGATGTCAATTCTGTGAGCCAAAAGTTTACGTTCATGTGGAAAAAGGTGGTAGGTGTATAGTAAGCTATATGACTTATTTATCCACCCTCCGAGTGTAAATCACAACAAAGGCAACAAAGAAGGTTGCGGCCTTACTGGCTGCGTGGGAGGAAACAGAGAGGATTTCACAACAGTAACTAAAGGAGCTTCCAGGGCCTGACCCTGGGGTCCTCATGAACACAGTGGCCCCTGTGAGAGAAAGAGATGGCAGCTCCCACCTCTGGCCTTCTTTGACAGCACAAGATTGACGAGGAGAGCTGCTCAAAAGCCTCAAAGGGGAAAAATAAATATGTCGAAAGGCTTTTGCTTACCTCAAGGCTTGCCCCTGCCCCGTCACCCCCACGGTTGATGATTTGAGAGGCAGTGTGCTGTGTCACTGAGACAGAGAGCTCAAATCAGTCTGGCCCGTAACTACCCCCATAAATCTCCAAGTCATCCAGACAAACAGCTGAGATTATATGCAACGTGTACAATGCCTTGAAAAAGTACACAAACCTTTTAGATTTTTTTTGTCCTTTCACAACCACCAGTGAATTTCATTCAGTCAAAAAACTTTCAGAAGCTTGAACATGGAGTGTGGAGTGTTCTTAAATCATCTATATCAACATTAAAAGAGAATGCCACTATTGCAAACCTATGAGACATAGCAGTCCACCTAGCTGATCTGTAAGGTAAGGAAAGGATTTATCAGAGAAGCAGCCAAGAGGTTCATTTTAACAAAAAGAGGACGTGCAGAAATCCCCAGTTCATACCTTTCATTTGGGGACAAAGTCCTAAAATGTCCTCTTTTGCAGTTTGCCAACAAGCCATATAGGGTAAATAGCAAAATGGGTGGAAGAAGGTGCTCTTCTCAGATGGGACCAAAAATAGCCACCATTGAAAACACACTATGTGGAACGGAAATATTACACTACCCATAAAGTCTGAAGAAACAATCCCCACCATTAAATGTGGTGTAAGCCTCCTGCTGCGGGAATGCTTTTCTTAGCAGTTCCAGAGAAACTGGTCAGAGTTGATGTGAAAACAGATAGAGCTAAATACAAGGTAATGCTAAAAGAAAAGAATGTCAGAGACTGAAAAACACTTGAAACAGAGGTTTAGCGTCTCTGTACAACAACCCAAAAGTTATGGCCAGAGCTAAAATAGAAACATTTAAACTGAAGTTTTTGTTTTTTTTGCTTTTTTTTTGAGCCTAAGCACTATTGAGAATCTGATGAAAGACTTAAAATGTCATGTTCATAATCAAATCTAATTGAATATGAAGCGGTTGGCAAGGAATGAAACATTTCTGTGTCTAAATGCACAGTCGAATTTGTTTCAAAAGTCAAAGCTGATTAAAAGGGGAAGCCACATTTCTCAGAAATTTATTTAAAAAGAAATTTAAAAACAATAAATGTGAAAAAAACATATAATTTCCTTTCATTTAACAATGTGTGCAACATTTTGTTAGTCTATTATGTGAAATCAAAAGAAATTAAATTTGCATTGCCAAAAGTAAATGATTTAGTATAACTGAAAATCAAGTGCCTTTACTGAAGCTATTATAAAACCCTTGTAAGAGCAAGAGAGTGCAATAAAGAAGGGACAACCACGGAGCTAAAACAACTCTACATATAAAAAGTCTACAATCCTTAGACACTATTGATTAGCTGCCTCTTGTGGATTTGTTTCACCCGTACTTCCCTGAAAGACCTGCTGAGACATTACCTCACTGATGTGGAAGCTTATTGGACTTAATGAAAATGAGAATCATATTGTTTAGGCCAAAAGCAAAGTGTTTTCTACTCCCTTATATTCTGAATGAAATTGATGCCTGGCTGACAAAAGAAAAATGAGCTCTTGGGTTCCCAGACATTTAATGGGTGCTATCACTGAGCTTGCTGGCAATGAACCAGAGATCGAGTAGACGCTGATTTTATTAAGACGTGGCAATGCTTCAACAATGGA